AAAAAATGTTAGTCTGTGCAATTGCCAAATTGTAGCAAATTATAATAAAGCATGTACATTTGCTTTTATGTCTTCATTAAAATACATATGCGTTATAAGGTATATATATATTAAACACATGTCTGTGATTTAGAAATTAAATTATACATTATGAATTGACTTATAGATCAAAAATTTTGGATGCCTGATTAACGAAACACTTGATTTTTTGTACTCTTTGGAGAATGACGATTTCTGGTTTTTCATCATACCATACCTCAAGTAGGAAAATTCCGTTATCTTGACACATGCATCTTTTTTTCCGATCACGATTAACAATATCCTCGAGTTTTTTAACATCCTTATACCAGCCAGTATTATGAAGCCGATGTTGAGCTCCTTGAACTTCTAATGCGATTCGATGTTTTTTAAAAAAGGCGTCAAATTCTAATCCATTCAAAAAAGGAGGCCGATACTCAATTATTGGTCCCTCATCAAGAATTTCCATAGCTATCTGAATACATTTATTCTGGAATTTACGATTTTTTTTAGATACCAGCTTCAGTTCCAATTTCGCAATTCTAACTTCAAGTTCAGCTTGTTCACGAGCGATCCGTTCTAGATTCATGATTCTGATTTCATGTTCTTCCAATACTCTCAAGGAATCGATTGCAAGTTGATTGTCTGCCATTGCTTTATACAAGAAGCGGATGTATTTAAAAGCGAATTTATAAAAAACAGTAATGTGTACTTTTGCTCTTGCGATAAATCACTTAAAAGAAATTCACGATCATATATGCGATTAGTAGACGTCGATATCACTGCGATAAAAAAATTCCAAAAAATAGTTAAGCAAAAGTAAATGCGATTATATATGCGAAATAGTCAAGTAAAAAATTGGGTTATGCCGGCTGATCGTGACAAATTTGTCACAGTTTTTTTAGCCAAGAAAAATTCTCGATCATATGCGAGTAATGTACATTGATAATAATACAATAAAATAAATTCATGAAATATACACGCAAAAGTAAACTGATTATTTATATGAAATTGAGCCACCAGGGCCAGCTTTATTAATACGATAAGAAAAGTAAAAAAAA